ATCGATGCATTTTTTTAAGTAAAATATCCATATTCAAAACTTAATAATCCCTTTAATGTAGCTTGCGCTCACTGTTGTACACGCAAGCAGTTCCGGGCGGTTGACGTATGAGTTCAGCTTTGCATTTAGACAGCCTTGAGTCTCTCTTCAAGTACTTTACTTGTTAAGGAACTCATACGTGACATTACAGTAACATCACTATTTTTTATCAAATAAATATTTTATAATACTTTACATATAAATATTCAATACAATTTTTGGTAACACTTTATTTTAAGGTGTCCTTGTTACATGTACTTGCTATTATGATAACAATAAATTATGCATAATTGCATGCAAGTAACCCTAAGCCAAATCCTTATCCTAACCCTAAAACCATATAAGTGCATGTACTGTAGTTAATTAATATTACTCAGTACTTTAATGTATAATTACACTGTAACAAGGACACCTTAAAATAAAATGTAACCAAAAGTTTTAATTTGACATTATTACAAAGGTCACTATTTAAAAGTGTACTTAAGTGTTTTCAGAAAATTAGTTATGGAAGTTTCTCTCTTTAAGTCACTTAAGTGGCCTTTTATTTCATTAATATTATATTATCTGTACAGTTTATCAAAATATACTTTTAAGATTTTAAGTACACTACAAGTGCACATTCAATACTTAATTAATAACACTTTTTTCAGAATATGTATGAATGTATTTGAATATATTTGTAATTGCACGTGTAATGATGAACTTGTAAATTCGTACATTTAAAATATATTTTGGTAACATCAAATAACACACTACAATGTTCTTCTTCCACATTAAAGTGTACTTCTTTAAAGCATGATAATATACTAATAAAACTTGACAATATTACAAAGTGCACTTTTTAAAACTGTACTTAAGTGTGAAACAGTCATGAAAATGTCTGTCTTAAAGTATAAAATTCCCAAAGTGAATCACATTCACATTTCTCTAGGATTTTTTGACTGGGGTAGAGGATGTGTTGAAAACTGCAATATAATATAACGTGACATATAATATACCAAGTATTTCACAATAAACGTTGTTTGATGTGCTGAATAATGTAAAATAAAAGGTATTGTTGGGTTTTAAAGTGACACCCAATGTCGATAACATACCTGAGGATGGAGGGGTTGATTTACGTGAGTTTGAAACAATGTCTCCTAAACTGGATAAAGAGTTTGCCCCTAGTTTACTGTAAAACAAAAGAACAACATAGAATCCTTAACAAAAAAGAAAGGTGTAATGGGTTTAGTTTTCTTCTATGTATTTAAAATTATTTCTGAAGAAAAAACAGCCTTGGCAACCTGAGCGGATTCAGTGGGTGACCAGTTTAAATGAGCCGTTAAAGCCATTGAGACCATTTCAAGCTCTTTATTTTCAGCAGGCCATAGCAAAAGTTAAGTTTAAAAGCATTGTAAGCCTAAGCACATTGTAGAAAACATTGGCACCAATCGTCTCTACAATCTACTTAGGCTTCAGATCCCTTGTGAAAAAAGTACTTTTAAAGAGTATGGAAATAATATACTTTAAAAGAATATACTTAAGTGTGAACTAAAAGTAATGTTTTATATTTAATTGCATGTTAATGACAATTAAATGAACTTGCTTTTTTGACCCATTTAAGTAGGACCTAAGTACATCTTTGTATTATTATTTGTCTTTAAAATATGCAATTTAAAATAAACATTTGATTTGAAATTACAAATTGCACTTTTTAAAAGTGTGCTTAAGTCTTTAGAAACAGTCATGAAAGTGTACTCACTTAAGTGGCCTTTTATTTCATTTATATTTTTATGTGCAAGTAGAGATTTTTAAATATACACTTTTAAGATTTGAAATACACTACAAGCACACATTCAATACAGTTAATTCAATTAAATTCTATTAACTGAATTAAGCACACTTCTTTTTCACAAGGGATGCTTTTGGGAAACAGTCTAGTTTTGTTAAAAGTGGCCACATTAAAGCTCTGTTTTTTCTGTAATATTTTGTTTAGTGAAGAACTATGCGTTGTGTGTTAATGGAACATATACCTTGAGTAAAATTTTCCTTGTTTTACACGTTGCTCCTGGTGGATGCGAATGCTTTCAAGCTTCACCGGACTTGGGATGAAACCGATGTCACACCCTTCTTTCACCAAGCGACCAATCCACCAGTCATTATTAAATTTCTGTCATTAAACACACAGAAGTCACCCATGGTGCATATTTATCATCGTTAAAATACCATTCCCACAGAACCTTACAAAACAAAAATTCAAGGCCATACACAATCTTAAATATATTAAGTACTAAAAATGTAAAAACTGTAATTGAAAAATGAATCTTGGTTATTTTAAATTTGCAGATATACTTTCTGCCATAAACTGTATTTCAAGGCCTTGTTATATATGTGTGCAAGTCTGTTTTAGTTAAAGAATCTGTAATGCGTGATCATGTATTTTGAGTGTGTTGTGTTTGTTGTGATATGGACAAAAGTATTCATTTTATTTGCTCAGGTCTTTAAAAAAACTTTACTCAACTGTTATAATCTTTATACTACATGTGAATTTGGATACATGTTTAAATACATACTTCTTTAACATGAAGGAAATCTTTAGCCTCAAATGAGATTCCCATTTCAGGCACAGGGACGTCGTCTTCAAGAAAAGCGCTGTAGCCAACATTAGTACGTACTGCAAACGCCACTGGTTTAGACTGTGTAGAAGAACAAAGAGCGAGTACAGTATGAAATATTAACAAATAGCAGAAGAGAAAGATTTCAACAACAACTCTCATGCATTTCAAACCTGTGGAACACAGAAGAAGATATTTTGAAAAATGCATCGGTGTCCATACAATAGGGTTCAATATTGTTCAATTTTTTTATTATTATTATTATTACACTCTAAAAAATGCTGGGTTAAATATAACCCAGCGCTGGGTTAAAAAGGGACAAACCCAGCTATTGGGTTGTTTTGACCCAGCGGTTGGGTTCAAAACAACCCAATAGTACCCAAAATCATCGTTTGTGTTTAGCAGATGTACAAGCTCTAACTTTTATGTTGCTTTCTTGTCCTTTAATGCAAGACACTACAGAAAAAACATTGCTTTTTTCATGACTAGTGAAAGAAAACATCCAAAATACACTTTCAAGTATCGCATATTACACTCTAAAAAATGCTGGGTTAAATACAACCCAGTGCTGGGTAAAATATGGACAAACCCAGCAATTGGGCTGCTTTGACCCAGCGGTTGGGTTAAATGTTTAACCCAACATTCTGGGTAGTAACCCAACCGCTGGCTCAAAACAACCCAATTGCTGTTTAACCCAGCATTTTTTTTAGAGTGTATCTATTTATGTCTGTGGATTTCAGTGACTAAACATATTTTTCCAGGCTGTTTTCTCTGCACTTCAGCAGCACTTACATACACCAAACTTAGCAGTTTTATTTCTATTTATATTCTGAAGAGGGTTTTGTTCATCATTTGCCTGATTTTACATAACCTTTCATTCCTAAAAACATGGTATTTTTTTCTTTTGGTTGACAGTATTTTCTGATTTAAAAAAAATCTGAAATACTAAAAAATAAAAATCATTAGCTCTAATATGTCAACAAAATGAAACAAGAATTTTAAACCTGGCTTTATCCAGTGTTCAGGTTTATGTTTAAATCATTACATATTTAATTAGATAATGCCTTATTTGCATACTTAAACATAGCATCCCAAAAAACTTTGCAATTCTTAATGTAATCAGTCAACTGGAGAAATATATGGGGGTTATACTGTTCATTTTCTTCCATATTCCCATGGGAAAAAACCTTGACAGACCCATTTCATCCACTTTCATTATCTAAAAGAAAAGAAAACTGCCAGGGTATAATTAAAAAAATTAAAAATAAATCTAATTTTGTGTTCTATGGAAAATAAGTAGTAAATTATTAAGAGTAAATTATTATCTACAAATTTTTCAGTGTTTTCAGGAATACAAAAAAGCAGGAACATGAGTGTTTTGACACACAAGGGCAAAATCAGTATGGACTCAGTGTAATTCACTTCCACATGATGGGCTTTGCATACTTAAACATAGCATCCCAAAAAACTTTGCAATTCTTAAATCAATCAGTCAACTGGAGAAATATATGGGGGTTATACTGTTCATTTTCTTCCATATTCCCATGGGAAAAAACCTTGACAGACCCATTTCATCCACTTTCATTATCTAAAAGAAAAGAAAACTGCCAGGGTATAATTAAAAAAATAAATCTAATTTTGTGTTCTATGGAAAATAAGTAGTACATTATTAAGAGTAAATTATTATCTACAAATTTTTCAGTGTTTTCAGGAATACAAAAAAGCAGGAACATGAGTGTTTTGACACACAAGGGCAAAATCAGTATGGACTCAGTGTAATTCACTTCCACATGATGGGCTGCACACGCAATGAATTATGGGTGTGTCGAAACAGAGGACACAGTGTCCTCTAAAGGTAATGGGGATGATGGGTTGATCACACACAAACCTGACTCTCCGTGATCTGTCAAGACAATGCTGCTTTATCTTCCCTTTCTTTATCCCATATTATTATAGGAGCCAGCTTTGAACCCCTTGTTTTGTTTTCACAGCCACTGTCTGCCTCTTATGTAACCCCACTTTCCATAACGCATGCAGTATTGATCAGACATAGTGATTGTAACCCTTTGTGTAAATGTCTGTTCAGACTGATCTACAGTTTCATTCACATTCAGCAGAAACACACACATCTGATCTGACGGCTCGTTTGCTTTACTCGAGAGTGTTTATGCTAAATCTTAACTCAGATTCAGGTTGTTTTTGGTTGAGTGAAATTATTTCATTCCTACACTCCTAGGAAAGCAAAACGGAAACATTTTTCATTATACACAGTCAAAAGCTTGAAATAATTTACATATTTTTATGTTTTTGATGTCTTTTATGCTCACAGGGGCTTCATTTATTTGATAAAAAAATACAGTAAAAACAGTAATATTGTGAAAATATTATTATAATCTAAAATAACTGCTTTCTATTTATATATATTTTAAAATGTAATATATTCCTGTGATCAAAGCTGTATTTTCAGCATCATTACTCCAGTCTGATTATGTTGATAATATGCTGAGTTGCTGCTCAAGAAACATTTACATAATGCACATTACGTTTTGCAATCTCATGATTATTTTGGTTTTACTTTATGCTGTCCACATTTACAGCTCTAATGTTTATTATGTCTCATTTGTTTCTATTCTTAGTCCTTATGAAGACTTTGAATATATTGTGCTGTTTTTGTTTTGTTTTTGGTGAACTATTCCTTTAAGGCACTTTCAAGAGTGGTTTAAAGTGTTCAATTTGTGAAACCACTGCAAAACGTGGCAACCTAAAAATGGTAAACTAACTGGTTTTACCGAACCAAGCTATACAGTATACATACATATACCAACAAAACTATATTTTATATGTTAAATCAGGCAGAAATAAGTCTTTAAGGTAACAATTGCAGTGTGTGTGTGTGTGTGTGAGAGAGAGAGAGAGAGGTGCTGTTTTTGTTTTGTTTTTGGTGAACTATTCCTTTAAGGCACTTTCAAGAGTGGTTTAAAGTGTTCAATTTGTGAAACCACTGCAAAACGTGGCAACCTAAAAATGGTAAACTAACTGGTTTTACCGAACCAAGCTATACAGTATACATACATATACCAACAAAACTATATTTTATATGTTAAATCAGGCAGAAATAAGTCTTTAAGGTAACAATTGCAGTGTGTGTGTGTGTGTGTGAGAGAGAGAGAGAGAGAGAGAGAGAATGTGTGTGTGTGTGTGTGTGTGTGTGTGTGTGTGTGTGTGTGAGTGAGAGAGAGAGAGAGAGAATAGTTGGTGGATATTTCTAGAAACATGGTCAGTGAAGAATATTTTTCTTCTGTCTGCTCACTGCAGGCCATCTGGCTTTGTTATCAATATTTATGTGAGCTTTCAATAAATAAATTATTAAATCTGATTGATGTCAAACTCTAAAAATAGCTATCACCCCTAGAGGTGAAGGAGAGTGTGACAAAAACAAGATTAAATAGAAGAATAAAAATAGACGGGAAAGACTAACGGGGTGCGATTTCATATATCGCCTCCAAACAGCATTGATTTGCCTTTGAAAGAAAGTGTCTAAAAAGCATTCAGCTATAAATTAAGCCTTAAAATAAGATCACACTCAATGTCCTGACAAACCCTGAAGGTGCTGTGTGTCTTATATTTTAGTAATTCAGTGCATGATTTATAAAGCAAGAATAACAGTCTCATGAGGCTTTGTATTGAGAATTACAATGATATTTTAAAGAAGAAAAAAGAGAGAAAGATTGCATTCTCCCAAAAAACAGTGTGTGTGTGTGTGTGTGTGTGTGAGTGAGAGAGAGAGAGAGAGAATAGTTGGTGGATATTTCTAGAAACATGGTCAGTGAAGAATATTTTTCTTCTGTCTGCTCACTGCAGGCCATCTGGCTTTGTTATCAATATTTATGTGAGCTTTCAATAAATAAATTATAAAATCTGATTGATGTCAAACTCTAAAAATAGCTATCACCCCTAGAGGTGAAGGAGAGTGTGACAAAAACAAGATTAAATAGAAGAATAAAAATAGACGGGAAAGACTAACGGGGTGCGATTTCATATATCGCCTCCAAACAGCATTGATTTGCCTTTGAAAGAAAGTGTCTAAAAAGCATTCAGCTATAAATTAAGCCTTAAAATAAGATCACACTCAATGTCCTGACAAACCCTGAAGGTGCTGTGTGTCTTATATTTTAGTAATTCAGTGCATGATTTATAAAGCAAGAATAACAGTCTCATGAGGCTTTGTATTGAGAATTACAATGATATTTTAAAGAAGAAAAAAGAGAGAAAGATTGCATTCTCCCAAAAAACAGAAATCTATTCATACCAGTCACAGGATAATCACCTGCTAGACATTATAGTTATGATTATAACCAGTCATGACGAACTGGAGCTGGTTATACTGACACACACACACACACACGCACACACACACACACGCACACGCACACTCCCACACACACACA